CCACCCTCACATTGGGCAAATAAATATCATTATCAATATCTATTATTCCTTTTGTTTTTGGCAGTCTCATTTAATGTTAATAAATAGTAAATTTGCATATTTTCCAATGTGTGTGTGTAATATTTGTTCATGTCTCATGGCTCTCAAACATCTGACATTTATTCTATGTGGCTCTTACGTTAATTTATTTATTTATTATTCAAATTTATATCCTGCCCTCCCCAACGAGCTCAGGGCAGCTAACAATAAGGGCACAAAGCCATGATAAAACAATTAAAAGCAGAATAAAACAATACAAAATTACAATAAAGTGCTGGTGCTCTGAAAGTTCATAATTCCAAGATGTGTTCTGGAAGATGGACCCAGAAGAACGAAGCAAGTTCCAAGACAACACTGCCTTCTGACCTTCGGCCCAGGGCCATCATGCACCCCGATGGCATCCCCAGCTTTTGCAGTAGCGGTGCAGTCGTGGTACAGTGGCGGCGGTGGATCCTACTCGAAAGCCTGGCGGAAGAGCTCCATCTTGCAGGCCCTGTGGAACTGCAGAAGGGCACGCAGGGACCGGATCTTCATTCCACCAGCTAGGAGCCACCACCGAAAAGGCCCTAGCCCTGGTCACAGCGAGTTTGACGTTCTTGGGGTAACCAAAAAGATGTTGGTCCCCCGACCGTAGTGCCCTTGGGGGAACATATGGGGAAAGGCGGTCCCTAAGGTATGCCAGACCATGGCCATAGAGGGCTTTAAAGGTAAGAACCAGCACTTTGAAGTGAATCCGGTATGCTATTGGCAGCCAGTGCAGCGCCTTCAGCACAAGCCGGATACGGTCTCGCCTAGAGAGACCCATCAACAGCCTAGCTGCCGCATTCTGCACTAGCTGCAGCTTCCGGATTTGCGACAAAGGCAGCCCCAAGTAGCGAGCGTTACAGTAGTCCAGCTTCAAGGTGACCGTCACATGGATCACCGTGGCCAAGTCATTGCGGTCAAGGAAGGGAACCAACTGCTGAGCCAGACGAAGATGATAAAAGGCCGACTTGGCAGTGGCTGCCACCTGGGCCTCTATCATTAAAGAGAAGTCCAGGAGCACACCCAAACTCCTAACCCTCGATGCTGGCACCAGAGGCGCCCCATCGAAGGTTGGGAGAGGGAGTCCCAACCCCGAATTGAACTGACCTAGGCCCAGGACCTCTGTCTTCGCTGGGTTTAGTTTCAGCCGACTCAGTCTGAGCCATCCAGCCACAGCTTGCAATGCCCGATGAAGGTCATCTGGGTTGGAGTCCGACCGGCCGCCCAGCATCAGATAGAGCTGGGTGTCATCCACATATTGATGACACCCAAGCCCATATCTCCAGGCAATCTGGGCAAGGGGGAGCATATAGACGTTGAACAACATCGGGGACAGCACTGCCCCCCCCCGAGGCACCCCACAATCAAGAGGGTGCCTCTGGGACCGCTGATCCCCAATCACCACCCTTAGTCCCCGACCTTAAAGAAAAGAGGCAAACCATTGAAGGGCAAGCTCCTGAATCCCCACATAAGCAAGTTTGGCCACCCCTGCTCTAGTGTATCTTGCTGTATCTCTTTTCGGAAAGCAAAACAGCCTACAATATTGGCATTGACGACTGCTGCATCTCTCATCAGAAAGCAAGTTACTCTACAGCATTGAATCCTGTCTGTATATTCGTCTCTGCAGCTGTGGACTTTTCTACAAGATATATATTGTTCTTTAGGTTTTTGTTATCAATGTACTATAATTAATAAGATACACTAGGGTCTTTATTGTATATTTAAGTATATTATTTAAACAAATATATGAAGGCATAGTAGCATATCAGAATTGTGTGTTTTGTTTTAACATGGTTTTTTTCCACGTTTACCCCACCTGGAGGTTGGCAAGTGTATTCTTAAGCCATAAGGCTATGACAAAGATCAAAGGTGCTCACAGGGCACCAGATTCTCCTGTCTTCTTTATAGCATTTTTGTCTATCAAACAAGTATGTACTGAGTTTACTGAGCTGTTTTACAGGACAACACCTACATGACTGAATGCTCCTCTTGACAAAAATTCCCTCCACGTTGAAAATTAGATGTAAGTGAGAAAGGGTTTTCTAGACTAGCCTTCTTCTTGACATGCCAGCTTTTTATATGCAAGGAATCTGTTTTGTACAGAGGAACATTGAATTATATCAGCCCCCCACCCCATCACCGGCAGTTGACATGATACAGACCAAAAACCGAGGACTAGGCATCTGAAGGAATCTCCAGAATCCAGGGCCGGGTTGCCAGGACGCCCCTGGCCACCAGCAAGGGATGGGGGGGTAGGGTTGCCAAATCCATGTTGGGAAACTCCTGGAGGTTTAGGGATGAAGCCTGGAGAGGACAGGGACCTCAGTGGGGTACAATGCCACAGAGTCCACCCTCTGCAGCATCCATTTTCTCCAGGGGAACTGATCTCTGTAGTCTGGAGATGAGCTGTAATTCAGGGAGGCTGGCATCCATAATCCAGGAATGAAACACACCTTGTACAATATTGAGTCACAAACACAGAAGATGTCAATGATAACAGGATTTTCAAGCAGGGGAAGAAGGTGGTCAGGCATCCCTTGCCAAAAATGCAGCAGAAAATGTTGGATCTAGGGAAAAGCAAAGAAGAGCACACCTTTGAGCACCACAACAGCCATGCTTTCATACAGACAAACAAGTGGGTATGTGTTTCAAGGTACCTTACCTCTTCAAAGTTTCCATTAATGGCATTGTCAAGGACACACTGACAGTGGGTTTTATACATCATGATGAGAGTGTCCACCTAGTTTAGCAACAAATAAAATTACATTCTTTTAACCAATTTTTTTTAACAAACCTTTCACTTTTCCTTAAAAGGATTTAAGAAATACAATTGTTCAGTTTTAACTAGATTTGATGATGGGCTGTAAATTGAATACAAAAAGAATTATGCATGGAATTCAGTTCTCTGAGTAACACTGCCAAAAGATGTAGTCATTCTGTTGCAAATTATTGTCCACCATTTATTGTTCCCATATACCAGTATTGTTCTTTACAATCCCATATCTCTTTGCCAATAATGCTAGGCTTCTGAGATTCCCATTGTGTACTGATGGAGATGGAGAGAGAATAACTTGCTCAAGGCCAGATGGCACATTCAGGCTATGCAGGAATGTGAATCCAAATCTGTTCACTGCACTACACAGGCTGTGGTCCTTCAGACTCTATCCTGCATTATCAATGCAAAACTGAATATAGGTAAAAGTGTACAGTGAATTGCATCTGATGGAGTGGGCTTTAGTCCTCACTAACTTATACATCTTTTTTTTTTAGTTTTTAAGGTACCCCCAAACTCCTGTTTTCCACAGTGTTGTTATCTGAAATGACCTGTCAGTTATTAACTGCATAGACAGACAGCAGAAATACAAGACTGAACTTGCTGAGTTGGGCCCTCATGTTGAAAATCAAATGCTGATTATTAGCGTGTATTTGATTTCCAAGTTGTATTTTTGTGGTTGGCTTCTAAAGTAAATCTCACACTTTATACAACAGTTGCTACTGTGATTGTTAATAAAAACGATTTCATTTAGGGACTGCTTCTTGTATGAATATCGTTAATATTAATAACAAATTGCTACTGAATGTTGGAGGATCTGTCAAATGACAAAATTCTTTAAACTGATCATTTGCCTTACATATAAACATTGGATCTAGTTTAGTAAGTAAATATGTATGCATAAGAGTAGATTTCACACTACCTGGGTAGTGTTAATCATCTATGGCCCTAACCACAAGCCAGCAAATATTCTCATTGACTCCTGTGCATACAGAGCTCATTCATGTACTGTGCGCACATGCAGGGGTTCTTTCATAATTTGTGCTGAATATGTCTCAGAGGAAAGCAAAGGTTAACAGGTGCTGGTAGATGTGTTCCTGCTCCCACTTCTATAAGTATTGACTGTTTACCACCATGATGTATATGCAGTTCTATGCTTCAAGGGTTTACAGAAAATGAAGAAGGTTTGACAACATCCTAAGGATGATGAAGTTGTCCAAAAGCAGTCAACCAGCTTGTTATTTATTACTTATTCAGATAAGAATGTAGATTTCCTTTCATCCATGAAATGAAGTTACAGCTCCTTTAGAACTCCCAAGGCCATCTTAGTACATTTTGCCACCCCACTGACCTCTGTGCTGCCTCCACCATGTAGGGTTGCCAAACTCCAGGTGGAGCCAGGAGATCTCCTGGAGTTTCAACTGATCTCCAGACTACAGAAATCAGTTCCCTTGGAGAAAGTGGCTGCTTTGGATCCATCCCCCTCCCCATACCCTACCTTCTCCTGGCTTTACACCTAAATCTCCAGGAATTTGGCAGCCATACTAGGTTGCCTACCAGGCAGAAGCTGCATGAGTCACCTTTAGCTGTGCCTGCATCCCCTGCCAATTTGGAACCAAACACAGCCTTCAGGGTTACTCAGATGGTGGACTAGCTTTGAAGACTCCAATTTGCAAATTTTAGACCACTGCTCCAGATTATTTATGCTACATTATTTATGCTATTCTAAGAAAAAGAAGATCATGGACAGCCCAATTCAGAGCAGGTATGCTGACATTTTAAACTTTCCCCTCCACAATTAAATTTTACTTCCTAGAAAGTACAATTTAGCCTTTTTAAAAATTCAGCTCCTGTTATCATGCTGGCCATGAACTCAAATCCATAAATTTCACGCTGCTACGGTTGGAACAAAAATTATCAAAAATGAAGGGAAGAAGAAACTTCCTCATATTATTTCTCAAGTTTGCCTTTAATCCTTTACTTTTAAGAAATCAAACTTAGAAAAATGTATTGCGTTTCTCATTTTTATGTGTCTTTTTTTTTTTTAAACACCACAGCCACATAAAAGCCCTGGAGCCATTTTAGATCACCCTTATGGTAACAATGATACAATTAAGAATTAAAACTTACTAAAACATCTCCAGCAACTATCCACATAGATCTAAACACAAAGCCCTTCTGCTAACCAAAAACAATGCTATCTACTGACATGTAAACACCACAGTCAGAGCAACATAATTTTAAAATAATCAGCAGGTAGAAGTGTAATCTTCTGTTCACTGGCAAAACATGGCAAAGGGAAAAAACCACTTTGAGATTTGCCTCAGTCTTATCAGTGCTAAATTAATCCATTGGTATTTAGAATGGATAGGACCCTTAACTCATTCTTTGTTTTGCCTTTCTCAGGTTAAATACTATTAGTTTGTAAAATATTAGGCAAGTTAATGTGTAAATAATTCAACTACCTCTCCACTGGAGACCCAGTGAATAGGCGATAGTAGAGGCTGGCTTCCTCTATAAATCAGTCAACTCTGTTTGGCTATAGACATTTGTAACTGTTTCATGTCACTTCTGTGAAGCCTCCGAAGGTAGAGAAAGAATTTTTAAAAATCCAGAAGTCAATATAAAAGGTAAACATTTCACATTTTACCTTGTCTTTTGAGATGCACCCTTCCAGCACAAGGTGCTGAGCACTGGGGAATTCTGGAAGGAGAGTCCCCGTTTTGGAGCTGAGGGAATATTTCCGAGTAAATCCACCCTGTATAGTATGAAATAGCTTTACAAATGTAGGTCAATCACAAGTTAAACAATCCTGATGAAGAGCTCAGCATACTAATTTGATGTTTGGTCAAAACTGGGAGGTTTTCAGTGAGGGATAATCCAGTTTCTGTGAGTGAGGAATACTCAGAGCTTCTGGAGAGGTTCTTCTCTGTTTGCCCCCAGAAGTGAGGAGGGAAGCTACCAAGCTGGTGCCTCACCTTGGGAACTCTCTCTCCTCAAGAATCCATTTAGCAACTATTTGGTTTCAGGTGCCAGATGGGAAAAATTCTCCCCTACCCCAACATTTAGTTGAGGGTTTGTTTTTTTAATTGGGGGAAGGCGTTCCTGCTCCAGAGCTCTGTCTGTCTGGTTCCCATCACAATGGGTTTTTTGAAAAAAATTATCCGGTTAATGGCTGTTTTAATTGTTGCTTCCTTGTGGATGTATTGTAATCTCATCACTGTTTTTGTGCTTGAAATAATCTCAGAAGCTTTTTTAAGGCTCAGAATCCTGGAACAGAAATTGCTTTACTGAAATATGTAAAAGGGCTGGCTCAAAAAACAATAGTCCTGCTTTGACATCTCTCTCTCACACACAGGCAGTTTTCACAGGGTGAGTATGCCGGGTTCAGTGCTATTGAGAAGTGGTCCCACCCACCCCACCCCCCGCTAGCCCACAGCGTCATGGTGCACCTATGCATCTAACAAGTTTTGCTTGGCTTTCTTACAGTCTGTTCCAACCTGCTTTGCCGCAATGTTTTGGAAAAGATTAAAGCAAAGCCAGGTAGGCTATGGGTGGGAAAGTCTGGTTTTTCCTGGTCCCACCCACACAGCAGCCCTTGCACAGCCCCAATCCTCATGACATGCCACCAGAGGGCTTTTTGATAGGGTTTTTTTTGGTAAGCAATAATTAGCAAATTGCTTGGCATAATATCAGTCACGTGCATTACTGGTTTTTTAAAAAAAAATTGGGAAAAGCATGTGGGTGGGAGAATAGCCACCATGGGGAAGAGCCACCATGGGAAAATGTAGGGCAGGGGTGTCAATCATGCGGTTTCTCTTTGTCTATCTGGGATTTAAAAAAAAAAAAAGACAAAGACCCTGGTTAGGAATTACAACATGTGGATTGGATTCCATGGAAGTAGATGGCTAAGTGTTTAAAAATACATTTATAGTTCCATATATTCCAGTTCAACACGTGGTCTCCCTCTCTTCCCTCCCACCTCACTGGCTGTCTTTCTTCAGATTAACACTCCCCCCCCGCTTTTTTAACTTTTTTATTATCATCATTCGCAGTGAGTGGATTTTGTCCAGTCTGAAAGCAACACATTATTTCACCTGAAGCCCTTCACCCTTTCCAGTTCTAACAGATGAAAAAAATAATAATAAAAGAAACCTAACATCACAGCTTGCAATCTTGCAAGAATCCAGTAGCACCTTAATGGCTAACAACATTTTTAGCAGGACATGAACTTTCAGGAGTCACTGCTCAGTTCTTCAGATACAGCTAGAATGTGAGTACATTTGTCCTTATATCTTGGAGAGTGAAGTGCTTTCAGATGCCAAATGACAATAGCAGCCATTGGTAATGAGAGAAGGAAGCTAGGTCTCAGTTCAGACCAGGAGGATGCATTGAGCTTCATTATCAGCTGCATTTCATCAGTCTCTCTTTCTAATCTTCCTTTGAAATTTCTTTGTAAGAGAACTACTACTCTTAGGTCAGCAACTGAATGCCCTGGAAGGTTAAAATATACCCCCACTGGTTTTTGAGTGTTGTGGTTTCTTATAGCTGTAGAAAGAGTAAGAGTCCAGTAGCAAAATTTGTGGCAAGGTATGAGCTTTCGTGAGTCACTGCTCACTTCTTCAGACTTATGTCTAGTCCATTTATTCTTTACATCCTCATGGACTGAATCCTCCTGGACCAAACTGAGACCTAGGTTTCCAATCTCATTACCAGTGGTGGTATCACCATGCCTACTACCCTTCTGTATATCACATTTAATCCAATCAAACCTACTGCCATTTGGCATCTGAAATCATCTTTATAAAGTTTATATCTCTGGTACTTCATGTTGCATTTTATGGCACACATGGTCCGGCCCGGCAAAGTGACATTTATGTCAAATCTGGCTCTCGTAACAAATGAGTTTGACACCTCTGATGTAGGGAAAGTTGCCATCCAGAAGCCCCATTGCTATTGTGCTGCACTGCTGCATCAAAAACATTTGGGTTGTCTTCCATGGACTATATAGGAATTCCATAATTACAAATACTTCCACACCTAATACAGCAGAGCACACTCACCTCATTCTTTAGCTTGCTTCCAGAAAACCTTTGAAATGCAAGATTTCACTTTTAGTTTAGGAAAGAATATTAGATATCTTTTAAAATCTAGTATTGTAACTAATTCTCTACTGTAGCATTATTGCTATACAAACAACAAATCTAGATAATTTTGTTCCTTTTCTTAATCCTATTGAAGGAAGTATTTAGAATCAGCACAATTTCAGCACACACTGTCAAATGGATAGAGACAACAGTCCATCACATGGTTGTTGAATGGTAAATTTAATGTGGTAGATATGCAACTGCATGGGAAACCAGTCATCATTGGTACTATCTGGCAATATAGAGGCAACTTTTACTATGAGTCTGGGTTACTGAATGGTTACAGGTGAAGGGTATGGCAAAAATTTTGACATGCTTTGCTTTCATTGTGGTTACACATACAGTGGTAAACCTTCAAGCATCAGTCATTTGGTAAATGGCTTGTAGATACCTCCACTCTCACGAAAATCAGAAAGTCTGCATAATATAAGGGTCCTTCACACAGATCTCTGCAAGCCACCTAAAATGACAGCATGTTCCAGCTTCCTGCCAATCACATGCAGGGATGGCCTCAGCCAATCAGCAACAGAGGCAGCAGCCCAAGCCCTGTGCTGGGAGGGGCCTGACCATCCATGGACCCTCCCCCCAAGGGAAGGAAGAAAAGAAAAAAAGAGCAGGTTCTAACCACTTTCATCTGTCCTATGCAGGCTCGTGCTGTCCATTTGCAGTGATAACCACTCACGATCCGGGGCCTGGGCTACGAGATTTCAGCAACAGCTCTCACTTGCCTTACACAGGGTGAGGGCAGCCCTTTGTTTGGCCCTGTTGGGGGGGGCAGTGTGTGGCAGTGATTATGGGACCCTATCTTGGATGTCTGCCCAGCCCCCCCCCAATCACTTAGACTGCTCCCTGGTCACATGTAGCTGTTTGCACAGGTAGAAGCTTCATATCACCTCACATCCCTTCAATGTCATTGCTTTTCAATGGAACCACTTTGCATATTCAGCTGTAAATAATCGCATGTTAAGTAAATAAGTGACGTCCACCCTGGTGTGAATTAGCCATAAGTAAGGTTGCTTCCATGTGGATATTTTGCTCCTCGTTTGCTTACAAACTGGAGCAGGTTTTTCTTTAGCATCCACTTGGCCTCATCCTCTAACTGCCTACTTTCAAGTTTTCCCATTTTGCTTTTGGTAGGCTGTTTGATAGCAGCAACTCATCCCAGAATTATGGTTGTTTACGTGAAAATAAATAAGTAGAAAATTGTGTCTTTGATTACTTCTTTTAAAAGTTTTAAACTAAATAGTAAATAGATTTTTTTAAAAAAACAATGAGAAGGGCAGTAAAACTTGGTGAGCCACTTGAGGCCTCTGTCGATGAAGGGAGTTCACCTTTGACAGCTGCTTATCAGCTGTATGTCCAGGAGGAGGGCATGGGGAGGGAGCTGCCTTGGTGCAGAACAGCATTCAGCTGAATCTTAGCTGCTTCATGGCATAGGGGAATGTTGATGGAACTCAGCAGCTCTCAGCACTATTCTGTGTAGGATATAAATAAGCTGCCAAAAGGTTCCACCCATGTCATTTTCCTTTCATCCGTCCCTCTTGGCTGAAGTGTTTCTACTATATAGCGCTGGAGGATTTTTGTAGACTTTTTCCCTAATGGTATCTGCTCTTACACTATATTGCAATAAAATTGTAATGATCTGGTAACATAATCTGCTAATTCTTCTGAATTACCAACTTTCATTTTTTTAATACGTACATCTTTAACCCTTTTCATTGCAAAGATATAAGAATAACTCTGCAGGCAGCTGCTGCATGGAAATGAACGGGGAAGAGAAGCTACAAGATGGATGGAATGGGACAGGAATTTATTCCTCAACCAAATGTGAGGTTGTGCCATGGCCACTGCAAATGCAGAGACATTTCGACAACAATTAAAGCAACATAAAGTATCATCACGGTGTAGATAAAGAGTAAGACTGAGTATTGATAATCGCCAACAGTATTACAGCTATTCTTTAAAAGTTGCTATATCATACCTTGTCAAACCTTTCCCAGAATATACAGAATGATAGTACGCACTGCTTTCTTTAATGCCAATGCCATAATAGTGATATCTGTAAGTGTGGGAAACAAATTATATTTACAGATGGTTCCAAAGGACACAGCAAAGTGAAGGCAAACAGAATTAATGCAGTCATTACGTTGTCACAAGAGAGCCAGCACAGCCCAAACTAGATGGTATACTACTAACTACAAGGCACAGAAAGTCTCTTCACATGTTATAGAGTACATAGGTTGGATCCAGGATCCCCGTCCTGTGTCTTATGTAATAATAACTTGTGATTCGCAGGTTCTTCTCAATTCCCATGCACATAGAACTCAATTCAGATTGCAATTTGCAACTTGTACACATAGAGAAGGGGCTTTCCCCTCCGCTTGTGTGATTTTCCTGGCCTGCGTTTATCCCAGAGGTGCACTACTTGTCTCTGTGGGGAAAGTCACGTGTACACTCTCGAGTAAAAACAGTGCCCCCTCAGTCATTTCATGTCAGGGAAATGGTGTGTGTAGGGAAGGCTGAAGATCCTTCTCCTGATCCAAATTGGACCCCAGCTGTGCTTCAGAATGGAGTTCCCAGAGGGAATCAACAGAGGCAGCATGACTGTGAGTCCTTGTATTGGTCATGTGGTCAACATCACATCTAGCTTGGATGTCAGTGTCCATTGAAGGGGTAATTCAGGTGGGCAGCCATGTTGGGCTGAAGGAGCAGAACAAAGTTTGAGTCCAATGGCACTTTTAAGACCAACAAAGTTTTATTCATGTTGTAAGCTTTTGTGTGCAAAGCACACTTCCTCAGATACAGTGAAAGGGGAAGGTAGAGAAAAAACCAGCCTGCTAAAGCCTCTGAGAACTTAAAGAATGTGTGGGGCAGGTTCCAAATCCCTACAGGAATTCCTCCCTTTAGGTCTTTTTCACCTCCCCCCTCAAACCACTGTGACACATTTACCCACAAGTTGAGTAGCAAGTGCCTTATTACCCTACCTTGCTGGATGGCAAAAAACATCAGAAGGAGGTAGGGCAGAAAACTGCATCAAAGCCTCAGAGGAAAGTTCAGTTGAGAACTGAGCTCTCTCTAACTAGATAGCAAAAATTAAAGTATATGTGCTAAGATAGCATGAGGTGCTTCAGCTCACAATTTTCTCTCAAGTATTGGATATATTTGCAATTTTGCTTATAGAACACTAAAGAACTTATAACTTTGTAGGAAGTGCCAAGGGTTCAAATGATTTTCTATTGATTATTGCTGTTTTACAGGAATCTTTTGGGGGAAAGTCTTTGGAATTCCTGGTGGAGTTGGTGAACTGTTTAAATCACTAAACACTGTTATAAAAGCAGGTGGTTTAAATCATTTTTAATTGACAAGATGTTTTTGCATCAACCTTTTAAATTGGGAGTTACGTACAGGTGTTTCTCCATTAATTGAGCCAATTTTTCATTAGGACCCATCATGGGCAAGATTTATGATAGAATCCTTTTGCTTCAAAGGACCTAGTAAATAATTGGTATGTCGGAATTAATTGGGTTGAATACAGTTGCATTTTCTATGGAAAATAAGCTTCAGTTTTATGTTGCTTTTATTAAGATGTTTATTGCAGTGGTTTGTGAGTTTTAGCAATAAGGGAAGTTTACTCTTTAAGTTTGGGATGTTGCAACGTAAAGAAGAAAAGACTCGGGTGGCCTTTTTAACTGGAATAATAGAACAAATTGAATAGGTGTAATGCCAGTAATCCTAATTGGGAAATCATGCACCACTGCCAATGTTGAGATTTATTGTTCCATCCTTTACTTCAAAGAGAAGAGCCTAATTGGAATAAACAAAAGGATGACTATATACTGTAACAGAGAGAAATCTCTTCTCTTGATCTGATGATGTGTTTTTAGAACTTTATGTTATGTTTAAGGCTGAAAATGTATAAGATATTTGTAAAAGCAACTATCCTTTATTAATTTTAAGCTCTGCTATAGAAAGTTATTAAGCTTATGGATAAAATGTTTCTGTATGTTTATTGAAGAGAAAAGCAGTTATGTTTTGAGGAACTGTATTTAAAGCTAAGTTAAAAGAACTAATGAGAAAGGTTGGGAGATGTTCCAAATTGAGTGCTTTGACGTTTTTAAGGAGTATCAAGCTGCTAACAAGCAGAATATGTCACAGAGATGAATCATGCACATCTGTTAATTAAGAGGTTCAGGTGGATCTTAAATCATAGACACTAAAGGGGTCAATTAGAAATACAGAATTTGTATTATAAAAGGGTGACACCTGTTGGTTAATGTAGAATCACATATCTTGACGAAATAAGGAAGTTTAGATGTTTTAATATTTTGTAAAAATATTCTGGACTAAAATAAAAACTGATATATAGATTCAGCACAACTCCAAGAGCTTTATGACATAGGCTACTTTATAGTATTAGAAAAGTGTACATATAAGAGTTTAATTGTGAAAACAGTGCTATAATACTGTATTTTTTCCAGAAATTCAATGTCTCCATGTATTCTTCAATAGAGATAGATCACAAAATGCCAGCAAAGGTGTTTTTGTAACATATGTGCCTGTATAAATATAAAAGAACCAATTTTGTAACAGAACTGATAGAGTTTTGTACTGAAAACGAACTCAGCCTAAAAGTTCATTCAAAGGTGAAAGGAGTCTGGGAGTATGGCCAAAAGAAGTAAGCAAAAGATCAATCAAATATAATGAGAGCTGCACCTGCATTGTGGGAGTTGAGACGCAGCCAAGTAACAGTCTGTGTGTCAAATATGTGATTGATGACTAGCCAGACAAAGAAAACTGAACTGAGCATGTCTAAGTGATGTCAGTGATGATGTATAGTGAGGAGGAGCAAGAAGAGTATATAAGTCTGCTTCCTGTATTTGCTCATTGAACATCCACGCTGAACTTTGCTGTGAGATGTTCCTTATTCGAATAAATTCTCTTGTTACCCTTTACTGCCTGGATGATTGTTTTAACTGTGTGGTTTATTGGCTAGCCACACAAGTCAAAGAGCCTTAGCGCCCTCGGGGCGTTGGCAATAACTTTATAATTCCATAAAGATATAAAATTTTTCTTTATTTATTCATTCAGCTTGCAATGTTATATGCTCAATAAGTTATAAACAATGCATTTTATCTTGTTAGAGCAATAAAATCAGTTTAGGTTTGATAGGTCAATAAGTATATTTCAATTTTTCCCAAAATTTCTTCCCCCCCCCAAAAAAAATAAATTGTGGGAAAATATGAGGTTTTTTTCTCCATGGGTTCAAAATTTCCAGAAATTTTACATATCTATATAATTAGAAGTAAGGAACAATTCAGTTTTTGGATCCTGAATAAGAGTAAGCTTCAAACTTACACATTGTCTTTCACCATGCAAAGACCCTTCAAGGTTAACTGGACTGCACTGTTTAAATGTCTATGAGAATTGCTTCTGCTTGTACAGCCCTTTTTCTCCATAAGTATTTATGTGCATGGGCCCTGGATCACATCGGAGGCTGTGTACCTAATAGGAGAGGATGCACAAGCTCTAAGCTCATTTCCCACATGCCACCATATGAACCCTAAGCCTGCTTCGGTGGGGAGGGCAGGGTATAAATCAAATAAATAAACCTACACATGTCTAACATATTTTTTCCACTGGCCTGTATCCAACTGGACTTTCTGGCACTTAAATTTTCTTCAGAGATCATGTCAATTTCTGCTAATACCTCCTCTAGTTGTAAATACTCTCTTTTCTCCCATGTTGTTTCTGAAGAACAAAATGTGGGACGGGGGGTCTCAGTGAGCTGCAGCAGAATGAGAGAACTGGTAGAAATTACTGCCACCTTTAATGAAAACTTAAATGCCCTGACGTGTTTGGAACTGTGTGGTTGGATGCAGGCCGTTTTGATTCATGCATATCTTTCCTTTACACCCTCACAGGTTTTTCAAATCCATTCTGCCAAAATATTTATTTACTGACTTCATATTTACCCTCCTTTCCTCCCAATGGGGACCCACAGCAGCGACATCATTCTCTTCTCCTTCATTTTATCCTCACACCCACTCTGTAAGGTAGGTCAGCTGAGAGTGTGTGGTTGGCCCAAGGTCACACAGCAAGCCTCCATATCAGTGTGAAGATTTAAACCTGGGTCTCCCAAATCCTAGTCTGAAACGCTAATCACTACACCACACTAGCTGTAAGTGTTCTCTATTCACACAGCAAAGAGACACAGACAGGGAGAAACAAGGGGAGGCTGTCTTTCCCCCTCCCCTCCTGTGTTCACTGACATATGTTCCTATGCAGCAAGTAGCCCTGACTGAAGCATATGCTGACACAAATGATGGCTGATAAGGCAATGATAGGATTAAGCTCCACAGGGACTGGCAATAACCCGTTATCACAAGGCCAGCTGCCATATCAGTTTTATTAACCCACTAAATCACTTTTAATAAATAAGATAATGCCTTTCAGAAATGGTGGAGGGAAGCTAAGATTTAGCATTGATCAAAGTCTAGAAAGAAATTAAATTGTAATTTGAGCTCACGTGGCCCACAGGGTATGTGCACTCCCTGACACATGCATGCAATAGCAGCCACAGTTGCACAGATCAACTTGGCCTCACTTCAGAGAAAGTTAGTTATTCTGCAGTCATGTTGAAATCAATGGGACTTGAGTCAGACATGAATCTCATAACTAATTTACTGTTACATTGTTTTCATTAGGATTTAGGAGAACCATTGGCCAGGAAAATTCAGTCTTTCCTCTTTCCAATCAGACACCGAAGACTGAAAAATTTGTGATCTGGAACAAGCCACAGTTTGTTGTGTCAAAACCAGGGGAAATAACAGACAGTGATTGTTCTCCAATTTATAAACCAGATTAGGTAAATGTAAATGTTTCCCTTGCTCAAAAGCCAGTCGAATCCTACTCTAGGGGGCAGTGCTTATCTCCGTTTCCAAACCAGTGCTGTCCGAAGACATTTCTGTGGTCATGTGGCCGGCATGACTAAACACCAAGGCACACGGAACGCTGTTACCTTCCCACCAAAGTAGTACCTATTTACCTACTTGCAATTTCTTGCTTTTGGACTGCTAGGTTGACAGGAGCTGGGGCCAGAGACAGGCGCTCACTCCGTCACGCAACACTAGGGTCTCGAACTGCTGAACTACAGACCTTCCAGACTGCAGCTTCAGCATCTTAACCTCTGAGCCACTGCAGCCCCTTATAACTAGACAATAATTTAATTCTAGTTAGAATCCTGATTTAAGAAAACAAATCATTGTCTGTCATTACTCTTGATGTAGCCTAGTCTATGGCTTTTTTGGCTGGCATCAGACCTGTCTGAATGGGACACCATAATTACAAAGTCAACACATGATAAAAACATCTGGTGCTGACCTGTTTGTTTCAAGTTAGGACAAGATGCCATCTTGAACGCTGTAGAGGACAATTAGTGCTAGCTTACAACCCCCAGATCACCATCATTCAGTATAGAAATGAGTGAAGACAGGGCATGATAAGGAAATAGGACAAAGGAAATAATATATGTGACAAAGGACAATGGATCTGTGTGCCACCTTGATAACTTTTTTGCACTGCTGCCTAACTGACAAACCTAATATGTGGTCATACTTTGCAACACAGCTGTCTGTCTCTATCATTTTGGTATATATTTTAAGCCAATTTGCCAAACTGAACATATCTTGAATGAATGACATTTAAGAAAATGATTCAGTGATTTCATGGAAGGGGTAGGAGCATCAATATGTGTATAGAGTTCCCCGGTTTGTAAGTTGCTTCCCATTTAATTCAATTATTGTGTTGGGGAAATGGCAGAATAAATACTTCTGTGCAGGGGTCTTTTGGGGCTGGAGCGCACTGGAGCACTGCTCTGGCAGCCCAGGACCCGGCACAAATGGTGGTGCAGCAAGCCCCGCCCCCAGCTCCCCGTGCCAAAGCGCTGGGGCCAGGGGGAGGCCTGAAGAACCCCACTGCCGGATACCCTGGAGAGCCCCGCCACCGGGTCCACTGGGCCCACACCGAAGCACTGGGGCCGGGGGCAGGCCCGGAGAGCTCCACAGCCAGGTCCCCAAGGCCCGCACAGGAGTGTTGGGGCCGGGGGAAGCCCGGAGATCCCCGCAGCCAGGTCCCCCGGGCCCACACAGGAGCACTAGGGCCAGGGGAAGCCTGGAGAGCCCCGCAGCTGAGTCCCCCGGGCCTGCACCGAAGCGGTAAGTAAGGGATCGGGGTGGGTGGGGGGGCGGGGGCTTTCCCATCTCTTTCTTTCTTCCCCTTCTTCTTTCCTTCTCTTTCTTTCTCTCTTTCCTTCTTTCTTTTTATCCCCTTTCCTTCCTTCTTTCCTTCCTTCTTTCCTTCTCTTTCTTTCCCTCTTTCCTTCCTTCCTTCCCTCTCTCTACTCTCTCTCTCTTTCCTTCCCTCTTTCCTCCTTCTGTGGCCCAACTCTAGTGAGAAGGGGTTTAAACTTTAAACTCCTTCTCTCTTTGCTTCCCCCCACAGGCCAGCTGTGGAAGGGAAGGGGAGACTTTTGATGATGCCTCCCCCCTTTTGCTTCCCCTTCTGACATCACTTCCGGTGATGTCACGGGTTGTGGCATATGCTAATAGCCTAGTAGCTCATTAGCATACCATATGCTGGGATATTCTGAGCTAGAAATAAGAATCTTGGTAGAATATTCGTCTTCATTGAAGCAATTTAAAAGAAATATTTTTTTTACAACATTGGACAAAATTACACGGCAATTCATTTGGTTCCCAAAAAGACCCAGAATAAAGCTAAAATTACTACAGGAGAAAAAAGAAAGAGGAGGCTTTGGTGTTCCGAATCGGAAGCTATACTATCAAGCCTCTGCACTCTGCTGGATTAAAGACTGGATACATTTGGATGATTTAAGATGTTTGAAGTTGGAAGGACATGATTTATATATGGATTGGAACACGTATGTTTGGTACGGAAAGGATAAGATACACTCCAACTTTCAGAATCATATAGTAAGGGGATTGCTAGGAAAAGTTTGGAATCAAATTAAACAGAGATACTACAGAAAAACACCAAAATGGGTTTCACCCATGGAAGCTTTTGTTAAACCAACACTTTTATCGAAAAATAAGAGAATAATGTATAATATATTACTGGATAAGAATAATAAACTTAAATGGGAGAATATCCTTAATCAACAACACAATATACAATTATCATGGTGGGAAAATGCACAATTAAAATCCAGATTTTCTAAGGATGTGACGCAGGGTTTTGAGGACAATAAGAATGAGTTGGATAGGATCTGGCTCTCGTCTAATGATAAAATGATCCAGAAACTATATAATCTACAAATAGAAGATCTTATGCAGGACGAAATAGTTAAACACACAATGATTTTGTGGATGAATGATATAGGACATAATATAGAAATAGATAAATGGTCTAAAATATGGAGATCAATGAAATATTTGAGAGCCACAGCTTATAAAGAAAATATTCTTAAAGTGTTTCATAGATGCCACCGGAAAAAATAGTGAAATGCTATGTACATAGTTCAAATAAGTGTTGGAAATGTAAAGTTAATGTAGGATCGTTTTATCATATGTGGTGGTGATGTGTAAAAAATCAACGATTTCGGGAGACAGTACAAAAAATAATTTGGGAAATGATAAATATGTATTTGATGTTAAACCCAGAAATATATTTGTTAAATATAATGCCAGAAAATCTTAATCATGATGATGCACGCTTAGTTGTACTTATAATAACAGCAGCCAGAATACTTTTGGCCACATACTGGAAATCTGAAAAAATTCTGACTAGGGAAGAAATAAGTTTGAAAATGTTGAATTTAGCAGAAATGGACAAACTGAGCTTGTTGATTCAGGGAAAAGGAGAAGACTAAAAAAAGGTCAAGACTTTACAAATGGATCGACAATAATGTTAAAGATCAGACTCGAATGTAAATTATTATAATATGGATATTATATATGTGCATAAAAAACTAATAAAGAGCATACCATATGCTAATGAGCTCCTGCAGCTCTTTTTCTATGAAAAGACCCCTGCTTCTGTGCTTAAAACATGAACTGTTTATTGAGAAAAAGACCTACCTACCAAGACAAGTCGAGAACCTGTAATGTGCAGAGAAAACAAACCCTCACTTATGACCAGTTTGCTTTGAAGTCTAGCCCGTGCCACACTTTCTTTCTTTCTCTTTTGCTCGTGGCTTATGTCAGCAGAAGAGGGAGAAATGGGCAATTTTACCTGACTCCCTATCATCACTACGGTCTCCCATCTTTTGGTACAGAGGAGGGTGCAAACAGCTTGGGGGAAGGGGAAGGCAGGAGACGGTATGCTCCTTTGATTAACTTTGCCCCTGGATCCCTGTTTCTGCTATTACAAAGTGGAGGAGGAGGAGGAGGAGGAGGAGGAGGAGGAAGAGGAGATTGGATTTATACCCCACCCTTCAGTTGGAGTCTCAGAGCGGCTTACAAACTCCTTTCCCTTCCCCTCCCCACAACAGACACCCTGTGAGGTAGGTGGGGCTGAGAGAACTCTGACACAAACTGCTCTTTTTCAAGGACAGCTGTGCCAGAGCTTGCGACTGACCCAAGGTCACATCAGCAGGTGGAAGTGGAGGAGTGGGGAATCAAACCCGGTTCTCCCAGATTAGAGTCCACACACTTAGCCACTACACCAAACTGGCTCTCAAAGTGCTGCAAAGGTGCCACAAAGCATCTGCTCGAAAAGCAGCATCAAAATAAGATTTTTAAAATTAAAATAATATGCCAAATTTAAAAACCATTGATTACAACCCCTGAAAGAATACCAACCAGTAATTAATTCACAACAGGAAATTACAGGAAATTACAACTTTAAAATAATAAAATTATAAAAGTAAATATAATAAGTAAGTGAAATCTATTTGAAATCAATAATATTGGATTCATAGAATAAAGTTTGACTCCAGAGGCACCTTTAAGACCAATAAAGTTTTATTCTGGGTATAAGCCTTTGTGTGCATGCACACTTCATCAGAAACATTGAAACAGAAGTCACCAACTATTACATATAGATAGAAGGTGAGGAGGGTATTGCCAGGAAGGGCCAATCAGAGTCAAGATGCATAAGTAACTGAGCAGTAGCTAAGATCCAGTCCTAGCAACATTTACTGCTCAGTTACTTATGCATCTTGACTTTGATTGGCCCTTCCTGGCAACACCCTCTTCACCTGTACCTATGTGTAATGGTTGGTGTATTCTGTTCCACTGTATCTGAAGAAGTGTGCGTGCACACAAAAGCTTATACCTTGAATTAAACTTTGTTGGTCTTAAAGGTGCCACTGGACTCAAGCTTTGTTCTGCTGCTTCAGACCAGCACGATCACCCACCTGAATCTACTGGATACACAGGCCATTTGCTATATTTTACCCACATTCTCTGGAGACTGTCAGTTCATCACATGCACTGGAATTCCAACTTACGTATAAAGATTTTATGGTAGACAGTCCCAAATGAAAAAATAAATAAAATCACAGTTTGTAAGACAAATATATTGAATGGGGTCTTACTTCGAATGGCCCCTTGTGCCCAGCCTCCTTGTAGTGAGAAGAGGAAATTTCTGACGAATAGTCTAAAAAAGAAGTTAAAAAATTAAGTTTCTATAACCAGCAAGGTCAAAAGGCAATAATGGCCAAAGGACAAAGCATTATTATTATTGTTGTTGTTGTTATCATCATCATCATCATCATCATCATCATCATCATCATCATCATCATCATCATCATCATCATTATTTGTTTGATTAGCATACACTAAGGTCTCCAAAAGGCAGAAGCACAGAACTATTAGAGTTTTCATTCACATATTAATTCACATTCAACATCACATTTTGTTGTATTCCACACTATTGTTACCCTCACATTTAGATCCTATAACCTATGATTCATCTCGTTTAATTTGATTTTATTTATTGTTATACGATTGTCAGAACTGTGTTGTATGTTTAATTTAAAACAAAATAAAAATCAAACCAAAGGAAGTCCTGCAACCTACAGTGGATCTGACCACTCTTGAGGGACTTCTTCAGCAAACTCCACTTAGGAAGCATTAACCCATTGAGGCCTGCAACCATACCGCTTCTCTTCCCAAGGAACAGAAGGGGAAGACTAGCTGCAAGGACTGTGCTTGTTTAAGATGTAGAGTACTCTGAGTGAATACCAGGGAATGCAATGCTACACTATAAATGTATATCCATTTTACATTAGTCTAATTGTGATGGTATCCTGGAAAATGTGGTTTGGTAAAGATGCAAAGAATGATCCGTTAGGCTGGTGCCATACTAGCCATTTAGTTCTGAGGTGCTGTGATTTTTCAGCTTTAATGGAAATCCAGACGATATTGTTAGCAATCAGTGCATTGGATCGAGCACAGCATTTCCACAGATGTAAGAACTTCTGCCCATAGAGTGCAACTTTCTCAGATTTCCCCAGCCTGCAGCAGTCTGAAATAACCCCCCCCCTCCTGCTCCTGGGGAACAAGATTAAGGAGCATTTGGGGCTGCCCCAAGTGGAGCCAAGAAAACCACTCTGCGTGGGCAGAAGTTCTCATGCCTGTGGAAATGTTGCACTGAGTTCAACCCAACTGTATTTCAGTTCTTCCTGCAATGGTCTCTCAACATTTCCCAGACCAAGTTTGTGGTGGGTTTTTTGTAACATATAACATAATGCCAGTACTTGGCTTTGGAGAGTGCTACTGAAGTTTCTCAGGATACTGTCCCTTTATATTTTTCTACTTGCATTCAATTTACAAAATTAATTACTTCCTACTTGTCAATGTTTTTTCTAATGCACAATTACAAGAAAAGTTTCAAGCAGATAAAAGATCTTTTGGTTTCAAAAAATCTAAGTCTGAATTTGAAACAGAACTATGTACAAATGATGAACATGTTATTGCCAAAATGTATAAACTTTTGTTGAAATCTGAAACAAAAGAAGAGGAATGTGTGAAAGAGTCTATGATAAAATGGACTAAAAACTTTGGACATAATATAGAAATGGAAAAATGGGAAAATATGTGGAAGAAGGGTGTTAAATTTACATTAAACTCCAGTCTTAAAGAGAATTTTTATTATAAAACGACATACCAATGGTATATGTCACCAGAAAAATTAGCTAAAATGTACAAAAATATCTTGAATATATGTTGGAAATGTGAACAAAATGAAGGGACTTTTAATCATTTACAGTAGATGTGTAACAAAGCCAAACATTTTTAGACACAAATAAGAAGATTGTAGTAAAGACTAATGTTCACATGAAACCAGAAGCTTTTCTTTTGGGACTAAAATCATGGAACTTTGTTTTTATACATGATGACAGCAGCGAAATGATTATATGCACAAAAATGGGAAAGTGTGACATTGTCCACTACAGAGGATGGTTGGTGGAGATGATGGAACTTGCAGAGATGGATAAACTTACTTCCTTGATCAGAAAAAAGGACGTTATCTACAGTTATCATTAACTGGAAACCCTTCATAGACTTTTTGCAGGAAACAGAAAAAAATGAACAGAAAATATGAATATTTGAGGATTGTGGGTGGCAAAAAGAGAAATTTATTTCTTTTGTACTAAGATAATCTGCAGTTGACCCATGAATTCTATTATAAACCACGGAGAGAACAGAGAAGAAAATAATAAGCCTGTAAAACAAACACAAAAGGAAAATTCAGGTCCTTACTTTTGACTACACATAACATAGGATCTTGCCACTGATATATTTTTATAATAAACTCTGACTTATGTTGATTTGGGGCTATGCAGTGGCAGCTAAGGCAGAAAATCACCTCCTCCTATGCCATGTCTTCTGGGTTCCAATGGTCTGGAAAGCAGTTCCATAGCCAGTTATAGGGTTGCCAACTCTGGATTGGGAAATACCTGTAGATTTGAGGGGTAGAGCATGGGGAGGGCAGGGTTTGCAGTGGGGAGGGACCTCAGCAGGGTATAATGCCATAGAGTCCACTGGCCAAAGCAGCCATTGTCTCCAAGAGAACTGATCTTGCTTATCTGGACATCAGTTGTAATAGCTGGAGATCTCCAGGTGCTGCCTGGAGGTTGGCTTATGTTAATTTGGGGCTATGCAGTAGCAGCCAAGGTAGAAAAGCACCTCCTCCTATGCCATGTTTTCTGGGTTCCAGGAGTCTGAAAAACAGTTCCATAGCCAGTTACAGGGTTGCCAACTCTGGGTTGGGAAATACCTGTGGATTTGAGGGGTAGAGCCTGGGGGGGCAGGGTTTGGGGTGGAAAGGGACCTCAGCAGGGTATAATGCCATAGAGTCTACTGCCCGAAGCAGCCATTGTCTCCAGGAGAACTGATCTTGGTCATCTAGACATCAGTTGTAATAGCTGGGAGACTTTCTGTGGGGGAAATGATGTGCTGTGGCTGGGGAACACGGTGATTTCTGGGAGATCTCCAGGCCCCACAGGGAGATTGGGATATGTATTTTATCTCAGGACACATTCAACAGCAACAGCAAACTGTTTAGAATGTTAGAGGCAAAGGCCAATCAGGTTGCATATGCAAATAACCTCTGTGTTCTGACTGGCTATGTGCGGGAAAGGAACAGCAAACTGTTTAGAATGTTGGAGACAGGACTCAGGCAACACAGCCAGTGGATAGGGAGACCCTCTGAGTGACAGAACAGGGAGCCAACTGATTTGTGAACATGTGGAATGTTCAAGAGAATCCATGACCAAAACACAATTATATATAAGATACAGCATTACATGAAATACAGTGTGGAACCACCACTGCAATATAGGGTTGCAAATCCAGTTTGGGAAATTCTTGGAGATTTGAGAGTGAAGCTTGTAAGGGAACAGGGTTTGGGGAGGAGAGAAACCTCACTAGGTATAATGTCATAGAGTCCACTCTTCAAGGCAGGCATTTTCTCCAGAGGAAAACATCGCTGCCATCTGAAGATCAGCTGTAATTCCTGGAGATCTCCAGACCCTACCCGGATGTTGGCAATCAATTATGGAAAAGGAATGAATTGGCAGCACAAATGCATCTCACTGTAGCCTTAGAGATCTCTATGCCTTCCACAAAGTAATTCCCAGAGTTCTGTGAAGACACAGAAGCCAATACCAGTTCAACTCTGAGGTATAGATATGCCCAGAGACTCCAGAGGTGCATGGAGACAACTAGTATCTTTTTAGCTTTTTGGCATTATGCAGTTTAAATGTAAAGAGCCTACAAAGAATTCATATTTGATTTTGAAATCATCCTCTCCCACCTTCCATGTCACACTGATAAGAAGTAAATAAAGGATGCAAATAAGATTCAAAAGATTTTGCAGCACTGCATATGAAGCTGACTTGGATGTATTTTCAGAGTAAGAACTAAACCAGATCAGTAGTCATACGACTACCCAAAAGCCATGTGGGTGCAACAATTTGGTTTTAAAACAGGTTTGTCCAGCTTGGCAAATCGATTTATGTAATAATGGATTCAGACACAGGTAACTCTGAAACTGAAATTGAAGTGTATTCCTACATGTTTTTTTTCCTGCAGTGGTTCAGTTAATCTGGTTTAAAGCCACTTCCTGAAACTGAGCAACTGAGTGGTTCAGGTGACAAGTCGACAAAGTCCCTGCATACAGCACCACAAATATCAGAGAGGCAAAGCTCAGCAGCTAATGAAGAAAGTTAATTCCACTGTTTCCAAAAGCTCAGACGAAAAACTAAAAAAACAACAACACATTCATTTAAAAGGTAGGTGAAATCTCTCTTGTAAGTGATGAAGATGTGTTGCAGTAAACCACTTAATCACAGTGAGATGCAAACCCCAACATTTCATTAAACTAATGTATTTCAGCTCTGCAAGGCAATTGGAAAAGAGCAGTGATGTTTTAAAAAGCTGATCTCTGAAGCTTTCTTGGTATTTAGTTTCACTACTTCCTAGTAGTTTGGATTTAGTTTGGAAAGCCCATCTCTCACTTTGCTTAAATGATTTTAACATTAAGGTGTGGGGGAGGGGAGTCAGGGGGGGGGAAGATCTGCAGACAATCTTACCTTTTCATACTCTTCCTTTCATTATTTGCTCCCTATTCTCATGGTAGTAACTACAGAACTCACATTCCTTTCAAATTTGCTGGCTCCAACACTCTATAGCGTGCACTGCTTGTGCAACGTTATCTACCCAATTGCAAAACCATTGTTTTCACTACTGTTTCCTCTGGATTCCATCTTGAAAAGTGACAAAACCCTCAAGAGCATCCCACCGGAGCACGGATTTAAAACCACCTTTCAGTTGAAGCCACTAAGGGCTTACGAGATCCTGTTTTTGTGCAAGGTCAGAAAATCAGGGGAAATTTATATCCATCTCATTTACTTATAAAGTAGGGGGTGGAGATTATCTTATATATGAAAGGGAATCTGGGGGTTCAGGGAGCAAAATTCTCCCCCTGCCACAACTTCCTTGGCTGTGTTCACTTGTCTAGGGGTTCAGGGAACAAAATACTCCCAGTCCATCTCCAGTCAGAAGCTATGGAGCCCATCAAAGTAATATGTGGGAGGGAATAAAATGTAGCTCCTGTAACCCCATGCTCCCCCTAGCTCCATTAAGTCAAAAATATAGACCTTCCCACCCCACCTCTTTTTTCTAAGTGGACATTGATAAATACATGTGGTAGCCCCATCACATCTAGTAAGCTCATTAAGGTACATGACCTCTGAAAGCCACGATTATTCTGGGGGAAGTGGTGTGACTGGGTTGAATCCCAGCTTGTGACTGCCACTTGAGAGGAGGTCATTTCTGCTTGTACAAGGGCAGGGGCTTCTGCAGTTTTCACAGATTCATCATTTGGGCTGCAGACCCTCCACATTTCATCCCACACGCTTTCCCAGAGGTCCCTCAAGCAGTGTTTGGGGTGGTGCAGGGCACTGTAGAAGGTGATAATGATGGTCCATTCCATGAGGGGAACTTTGAATCTAATCCCTTGTTTTTTAAATGTTTTCGAATAGGTAGGTCAGATGCCTTCTTTACCTTCCCAAATGTGGCAGCACAGGCAGGTTCAAGTTTCTCTTTCCTACAGAAATCCAGGTAATGGGCATAAAGGATGCACCTTGGCAGACAAACTCCTTCACATACAATGTAATTCTCTTCCAGCCTGAAGATGAAAAAAGAGTCATCAAAACAAAATACCATGGTTTTTAGCTTCCTCCTGGTTCCTTCTCCCTTTCCTTCACTTCCTGTTTACAGTTTTAAAGTAGAATCATGCTGTATCATACCTCTGACAAAGTAAATAATGACTTCATCCAAATCACTTTTTAGTGCTTCAGTATCCAAAGTTGTGGTCCATATGGAAATAAGTTTGAATGAAAACAGTAGAATTTATTTTCACGTAATGGTCACTGTCCAAAAATTACTGTATGCCTGACTGGTGAGGTAAAGCTGATCAGTTTGTCCCCCCCCCCCCCCGGTTGTTGAACCTAAATTCATTTTTACACCCTTATGAAAGGTGTGGGGTTCTACAGGGAAATCTGCTTCGGGGGGGGGGGGGGGAAGGTCCAACAAACTCCAAGGTGTATGCATTATTACTTGTATGTGTCACCAGCAGCATAATGGATTGGGGGGCAGGGTCATGTGTTTAAGGTTAGGACAATGAAGAGAAGAGGGGACTGCACCAAGGCAAAACTAAGATGAAAAGGCAAATGGTGCAAAAGTAAGAATCTTTAATTAATGTATAACTCCTACACATTTTGAGCACAGCTTCATCAGGGGGAATCTTTCAGATTCTTAAAGTTCTGTTCCCAATATATGCTAGAGCTAAGCATATATCACCAAGTGACACAAAGGGGTTATACAATCATTAAAGATTCTTTCCTTTGCACCATTTATCTTTTCATCGTTTCATCAGTTTCTTAACATCTTGATTCCAAAGAGCACTAGCAGGCTGCTAGATTTTGGCGGGGCCATTTTGAAAAGTGAATGAAAAGTTGATGAACCAGCTCCCCAAATCCCATGGCCTACAGTCACCAAGTATCAAGGCTATTTTTGTCACATTTGCCACAGTATCCAGGTATCTTTTGACTCTGCATTGGTGAATGCGCACACGTGTGTGTTTGTAGGGGGGCGGCATCTTTATGCAACTGGTCCAGAGGCAGGGGTATAAAATGGAAAAAATGCACCTGATCTTTCAGAAATGTATGTCCCATCTATCAGTCACATTTATTACAAACCCAGGATAGCATACATAGTTCTCTCTTTCCTCAGTTAATCCTCAGAACAACCCTGTGATGTAGGCTAATTTAAAACAGTAATTGGCCCAAAGTGATCTGCGGTGCAGTCCTAAAGAAAGATCCATTGACAGCAGTGGATCTACAAGTCTGCAACTCTATTTACGATTGCAGTGCCAGTGAAGTGTGCAGTTTGAGTGGAGGTTTACAGAGCGGGGACTTGAACCACAGCATTAGACACAGTGGCTGTCTGGTTGCATATGCCAGGAGGAAATTAATGTTGAACATTCAGGAACAATAATACTGGACTGCAATTGTACAGGACTTTACTGGAGGCAGCAGGTGTTCAGCTAACAACAGAATTTCTTACATTTTCTCCAGCCCACTCATTCTGAGATCTGGATTCCATGGACATGAGGCAGGATATAAATATTTTAAATACATACATACACTCTTTAAGCTTTTATCATTTTCAGTGCTCAAATGACACTGTTGAATGTAAGCTAGTAGATCAATGCACTTACAGTCCATTTCTCAAAAGCTGTAACCTAGTTAAAAGATCTGTTGCCAATGCCAATATATATGGTGCCGAATAAAATGTTTACATAGTGGATTGACAAAATACAGACATATTGTCTTGGAATATCAATGTGAGCTACTGGTTTGCATTCACAAGGCAAAGTCTCAGCCACATTTTCTTCAGCATATTTTATTGCATACATTGCACTTGTGCTGAGAATTCAGCTTCTAACAATACCCCAGAAAACAGTGGAAAAGAAATCACAGGCTGCAGTAGCAGACAGGGGGAAGTGTACACTGCACCTGTGCTGGGGGTGTGTGTGTTTGAGCTTACCATTGCAAGGTGAGCTGCGTCTGCTTCTTTTTATCCTTCATAATCTGAGTGATGGTTTTCTTTGGAGGTGAGTGTTTGCTCAGCGATTTTATCTTGCTTTCATGAGTCTCCCCATCCTCCTCTTCTGAGGAAAGGGCTTCACTGCTGAAATGAATTTCTGAGAGAACAAAGAGAGTTTAGAAAGAAAGGACAATAACTCAAAGTGAACCATGGAGTGGAGTTTTGTTCTTTTGGCTAGAGTGCTACCTGGAAAAGTACATTTCAGGCTTGGGCCACTCTGCTTTACAAATCATGGAACTGCAGGGCTAGCATAGCTGTGAAGATCACCATGTTCAGTCTCTTTGCATAGGTTTACAGAGAAAAAAGTAGATCCAGTAAAGGATTGCCCTGCTAGTATTTTGTGCATTTGTATGTGAAAAAGAGGGAGAAAGAGAATATCCTGATGACAAGAGTTAGCTATAGTAAAAACAAGCAGAGAGCCTGCAAAGAATTCGGGGGGGGGGACAATTTGGAAATCCCACCTCCAAATTTACCCTTCGAAGGCTCTGTTATCTCTCAGAATTTTGTGTACCCCATTTATGTAATCCTATATCAAGAGAAATTAATCCAATAAACATTGCCTGTTTTCAATATGTAGATACACAGATAAATCAACACCTGCATAGGAATTCAGCACCTTATTCAACCTGTGACTGTGCATATTCTTGCATTAGCAAATGCTGTACTAAAAGATAGCACTTTACATATCTGTAACACTAGCAGTTGGTGCAAAGTTCTGTGTAACCCTAAAACTGGCACAATAGAAAGTAGCTCAGTTAAAAGATGGCAGTTGGCCTATTATGCATCTCTTAGCTTGCAGCCACAAGCAACTTTGCTAGGAAATCCTGCTAAAGGAAGGAAGGCTTCCTATATGTATCTCATCAGATCTTGGAAGCTAGGCAGGGTCGGACCTGGCTAGTGTTTGGATGGGAGACTGCCAAGGAAATAGCAAACCACCTGTTTATGTCTCTTGCCTTGAAAACCCGGTAGGTTCGCCAAAAGTCAGCTGTGACTTGATGGCACTTCACAATAGCACTGAATTCAGTGGTACATACCCAAAATAAACATGCATTGTCCAGTAGTCTCACCCTTAGATAAATATGTTCAGGATCAGAATATTAGTGGGAGGGGAGGACCAGAGAATGAAGAGTTCTGGGAGTCTCAAATGTTTCTCACTTTAACAAGCCCCCCCCCCCAATATAGAAGAAGAAGAAGAGATTGGATTTATACCCCGCCCTTCACTTGGAGTCTCAGAGCGGCTTACAAACTCCTTTCCCTTCCCCTCCCCACAACAGACACCCTGTGAGGTGGGTGGGGCTGAGAGAACTCTGACACAAACTGCTCTTTCAGGAACAGCTGTCCCAGAGCTTGTGACTGACCCAAGGTCACGTCAGCAGGTGCAAGTGGAGGAGTGGGGAATCGAACCTGGTTCTCCCAGATTAGAGTCCGCACACTTAACCACTACACCAAACTGGTAGTAGGTATTCATGCACATACTTGTTTATCCATCTTGTAATCAGATTTTAGACTTTGACAGTACAATTAACATACAAAAAACATATTGGTAAACTACCTTGTTTCCCTTTAGACTGCAATTATTTGGAACTCAATGAGACCTACTTTGGAACCAATTTGTTTAACCTCTGAGACAGGCTTAAATTATAGTAGGGCTCAGACTGTTCTGTTTCCAGGGCCTTAATTTTGAAGTGTGTGTGCGTGTGTGTAAAATGCCAGTCAAACTGCAGCAGACTTAGGGCAGCCCAACAAGGGGTTTTTCAAGGCAAGGGAGAAGCAGAGGAGGTTTGCTATTACCTGCCTCTGCAGAGCCTTCCTTGCGAATCTCCTTGGGAAACCTCAGATCTGAGAGATCCCGGGACACCGTGCTGCCTTCTCACCCCCTTGAAACGCATCAAGTAGAAATGAAGTTCCCCTCAGCAGGTGAAGAGTGCGTCTCTCTCCACCCCTCCCTCTCTGCCGATTAAAATACACTTCAGAGATGGGGAAGGACAGTACTCTTTTTAGAAGGGCTCATCTTCTCTGTTTTGGGGGAATGAGGCAAGGGCGCAAATAGATCCGTGGGATGACGCGGGGTGCCACCCAGTCTAGCGGCCCTGCGGCGCCTGCCGAGGGCGCTGCCCGCCGACGGCTTCTTCCCTCGGAGGCGAGCGGGCCCGGCTCTCCCCCCGGCAGCGGCTTCTTGTCCGCGAGCGACTCCTCCTCACCTGCCTTGATGCCCGCGCGCAGCCCCGGCTCCCGGGCGTGGCGTCCCTGCTGCAGCCGGCGGGGCAGCGCGTCCACCTGAAGCAGCCCCTCCCGGGGCAAGCCTTTGGCCAGCAGCTCGGCGTAGCAGTCCCCGGCCCGGGGCTGGGGGGCTTCGCCTCTGGCGGGGAACTGGGCCGCCTTCTCCATCTTCAGGCCGTCCGTCCCTCCCCGTCCATGGGGCGCAAGAGCCTCGAGGATCGGAGGCAAGTCGATGCGCCAAGCGGCGGTCGGAGGCCACGGGAGAGGGGGGCGCCCGCAGTCCGCGAGGAGCAGCAGGGGAAGGCGTCTTCCCGGCTCGGGCTGCCGCTTACAGGAACGCCGAAAGGCACGGGCGGCTTTTAGAGCTGGCTCCTGCCAGGGTAGACCGCGGGCTCCCTTCGGGGGTGGGGGGGGGGAGGAGGAAGAGGAGGCGGCTCGTCGAGCACAGACAGAGGGCTCGCCCCCCCCACCCCACCCGGATCACCCAGCCGGGCGAAGAGCCGGAGGAGGGGAAAGGCCTGCCCACCCCGTGGCCAATAACCCATCTCTCCTGACGACTCCTTCTCCGTGGGCGGGACTGGCTACCTGTGCCCCCCGGGGACAGCCCGGCCGTCGGGTCGCTCAGCTCCCAAGCAAGCCCTGCTTTCAAGGGAAGCCGTCAGGCTAAAGATGACAGCCCCTCTGAGCATGTGCAGCCGGGCTGCCTTTCTCCCTGCCGTTGCCAGCGCTTTTTGGTAAAAGTAAAACGGTGTCAGTACTCGCTAAAGTTGTGCTGATTTCCACCAATCCCCCCTCCCTCTGCAGATCCCCCACTAGGCTGTTCCCCAGGGTCCCCCCCCCTTCTCTGGAATTTATCATTTTTATTAATTCCAGCAATTTCAATACAATACAATAGCACTGACAACTGATAAACATTCATAAAAATAACCGACCATAACCATAACACACCTCAGCATTCAAGCAAACAATCACATTTTATGTTAGGAGAAGTTGAATGCAACTTACTGTTCTACATATATTCAATAGATACAAAATAAATGAACATCAAACCCTGGTACAGGGTATCACACACAAGGTGTGGGTTTTAAAGCAGAAGACCCATTTGTGCTATATAATCTAAGAATGGGGACCACTCTCTCTTTTGCTGTCTGAGTGGGGTGGGCCAGCATACAAGGATCAGGACTTGGGAAAGCCCCAAAGCCAGTGACTACCCCCCCCCTGGGAGGGAGAGGGAGAGGGAGGGGAGAGAGAGAGAGAGAGAGAGAGAGAGAGAGAGAGAGAGAGAGAGAGAGTGTGTGTGTGTGTGTGTGTGTGTGTGTGTGTGTGTGTCCTGGGTGTTGTCATAGTTCCTGGTGAGGCTTCAGAGACATGAATGGAGAACTTATTTTAATACCTTTTTATTCCACCCTTCCACCCAGGAGCTGGAGGCCCTCACAGCTATCTTGCTAAATAGACTAAGCCAAGAGAATACGACTGGTCCAAAGTCACCCCGGGAGTTCCATGGGGAATGGAATGCCAGAATTTGGACCTGGATCTCCTCAGTCCCAGTCTCTGTCACCTCTCCATTCAAATGGCACTTATAAGCTACAGCCATAGTAGCTAATGGAGGGATTGTTTCAGGATCATTCAAGCGCATTATATGGGTAATGGCACTCTTGAACCATTCACCCTGAGCCAGAGGAAATCCTGGATAGACATGGCTGGTTTGGTTGGTGAGACAAGTTTGCGGCACTACCCCTTTTGACAATATCAGCTGTCACTTTTTAAAAACCCAAATGTTCCCTACTCTGTAAGGATGTTGTCCTGCTTTTCAGTAGAAGCTATATCACATCATAGATCAAAATGCATTGTTTTTCAACAGGCTTTTAAGTGGGATGAGTTTGTGCTCCTGGTGAAGTGGTGCAGCCCCTGGGCCCGGCCCGGCTGTAGCCCTGTGGAGTTTTCCAGTGGCAGAATTATCACAGCGGGTCCGTGTTTACCTGGAATTAAAATGAAAGACATTCCAGTCAGAAGCATGATTTGCCGGCAACAACACACTCATCTTAAGACTCTCCAGTAATGAATTATACTGGACCACCTGATGCTGCAACCATAGATTTTAGCTGGGTGAGACAGCTAAAATCTGTCTCTGAACAGATGTTACAGGTAGCCTAGCTTTTCTTTTCTTGATTGCTTCCCTCAAAGTGACAAGAAACAGCAGGCAAAGCTGATAGGTGCAAATTGATGTCTAATGAAAAAATTCCAATGCCTTTTGAAAATCTTGTTCAAGGTAATCTAACACAGCCCTCCCACACACACACACACCCCATATGACCAGATACAAATTGTACTCATTAAAAAGTCCATCATATATAGTTATACATTCAAAATACACTTATTACACCTGTATGATCAACATACGTATGGCGGAAACTTAGTGTGGGTATTTTTTAATTTTTGAAGGTCCCAATGAAGTGCTTTGAGAATGTGTTGGGTTTTCTTGAGCACCTACTCATCCCCTTTAGTCCTTTCTGGTTGATGCTGAGTGTCCCTCCAATCCCTTCTTTTTTGCTGCTCTGTTTGAAGCATACTGACAGCAGGAATGTTCACTACCAATTCACTCATTCTTTAAAAAATGTATTATATCTCCCCCCTTTAAAAGATTCCTGCCACACACACCTCAAACCCATACATTCCCAATCTGTTGATGCACACTCCCTCCTCCTCCCCCCCATGTGTCAGTGTACTGTATAATGCTAGCTTTCTATGTGCAATGAAAACCAGCAAAGTCTCACCTTTGTCTGAAGATATATAGTTCAGAGAGGACTTTATTATGTCCCCCCCCCCATTTCTGAATAGCTGAATTGGCGGGGAGAAGAACACTAGATTTTTAAAAAGCAAACCATAATGCAGGATATCTGAGAAATTTACATTATTCAGACACAGGCTGTGGTCACACGGTCATTTTCATCGGGTTTCACCACTGTTCGCAATCACATTTAAAAGGGCTGATCAGACGGCCGCATCTGTCTCCCGTATCGAAGCGGACTCACCCCTGCAATCCTAGTGATTTTTCTGACACTGGGAAAATCAAGTACTTTCCGAATATTTGTGCTGTGAATCCTCAATTTCACCAGTCTGGACAGCCATCTCTCGCTATGAATGAGATTAGGTCATCTGAATGTCCTTCTTGCGCTGAATCCCCCCCCCCCCAGCTTTGGCCATTGTGTGCATGATCAATCCTGTGCTGAATATATTCAATACATGAATGTTTGAGTACACTTATATAGACTCCAGCACTCGGTCGTATGTCGGTGGTTCATTTTGTTCGCTGTTTGGGGGGAAAACACTGCTATAACAAGGGAGTACAGCATGTCTAAGTGGGAGTGGTGATTTGGCCATGTGCAAAGACATTTTTTAACACAACTCCTGCCACGCTGCCACTTGGGCAGCTCAGCTATCTCCACGGTGCCTGGAGCTTCGTTGCGCAATGCAAACGGTTCAGGGATGGATGTGTGATCATCCCAACCTGCAAAAAAAATACCCCCGATGAAATATACAGCGGGAACAAATCGTGGTAAGCTTGCCGTATGGTCACACCCACGCTCTTTTCCTCCTTTTTAACTTGTTATAACAACTTGTTTTAGCAACTGAACCACTAGCAATAGTCTATGGGTATAATTTTAAGATACAGACCTCTTTTTCACTCTGTCAGCCTCTGTCTCTCCCCCCGCCCCAGACAATGTTGCTCCTACTCTGACACAGCCCACAGAATCTATAAAAGCACTCTTACAAGGTTTGAATTTACTTTGGAATGCTTCAGGATATATAGTCACTAAGTAAATCTGGTTAGGAAAGAAGAAGAAGCAGAAGAAGTGGAGGAGGCGGAGGAGATTGGATTTATACCCTGCCCTTCACTCGGAGTCTCAGAGCAGTTTACAAACTCCTTCCCCTCCCCACAACAGACACCCTGTGAGGTAGGTGGGGCTGAGAGAGCTCTTTCCAGAACTGTCCTTGAGAGAAGAGCTCTGATAGAACTATGACTTGCCCAAGGTCATCCAGCAGCTGCAAGCAGAGGAGTGGGGAATCAAACCCAGTTCTCCCAGATTAGAGAACTACACAAACCACTACATCCACACACTTAACCACTACACCAAACTGGCTTAACACATTTGTATCCTGTACGAATGTGTTTGTCAAACCCCAGATCTCCCCCTTTCCCCCGTTAAAAGATGCCTGCCATTCAAACCCCCCTCAAAAGCCCTGGCAATCATATACTTCCTTTATTCTTGCTACACAGAATACTAAGTCCATCCATATATATATACTAGCAGTAAAGCCCGTTGTGGAAATAAATACAACGAGATCTAGAAAGAGGCTCTGGGGGAGTGCTCTGGCTTTGGGCAAACAGTGTCATTTTGCTGTGGTGACCTCAGCAGGGTATAATGACAGAGTCCACTGTTTTCTCCAGAGGAACTGATCTCTGCTCCCTGAAGAGTAGTTGTAATTGTGAGTGATCTGTAGCCTCACCTGGAGATTGGCAACAATTGTTACCCAGGATGAAATGGCTGGTTTGGAGGGTGGAGTCTATGGCATTCTACCTGTCTGAGGTCCCACCCCTCCGCAAACCCCTCCCTCTCCAGGCTCCACCCCTCAAATCCCCAGGAATTTGCCAGCCTGGAGTTGGCAACCCCATCTCCTTCCCAGCTAACCATCAACCTACCATTATCTGCCCCTTTGACTTCAGCTGACTTCCGCCCTCCCTTCTGCAGAGCAATTGTAATTTTGAGCGGTCTCCAGCCCTCACCTGGAGATTGGCAACAATGGTTCCCCATGAGGGACTGAGTGGTTTGGAGGGTGGAGTCTATGGCATTGTACCTGTCTGAGGTCCCACCCCTCCTCAAACCTCACCCTCTTCAGGCTCCATCCCTCAAATCTCCAGGAATTTCCCATCGGGAGTTGGCAACCCTATCAGGATTGGCCCCAATATGTTTTCTCCCAAAGGCCAAAGTAGGTGACTGGACCAAACTAAGTTGCCTACCATCAGGCACTGAGGGGAAAGTAGGGTTGCCAGCTATAAGGAGGGAAATACCTGGAGTTTTGGGGGGTGGATTCTGTAGAGGGCAGCATGGGGGGGGCGGAAGGATTCAGCAGGTATAATGTCATAGGGTCTACCCTCCAAAGCATCC